ATTATGGTGAAACTGCATCAGACATAATAATTGTTGTTGATATAGGCCACATTTTTAAGAATTTTTTCAAATGGTTTGATGCAAACATCTTGACTTGGCTGCCTTATGATGGGGACGAAGACATTGAACTAGTTCTGCCAGCCAAATTTCGGTTTGAATCAGGTTGCTTAGATAAAACAACTGCTGCAATTTTTAGCTGTATCATCAAACCTTGTGTATTGCCAGCTGAATTTTGCCATGACCGTGGTAAAATGGCTACTGGTTCTTTTCTCCCAGATAACCAACCAACTTATGAATTCTATAATCCTTCTTTTGTAGCTTGTCAATTCGACCTTGGTCAACTACCTCCTCGGCTATTCTTTAGGAACACTTTGAAGCCAAGAGAAGGTATTAGCGAGATGATGGAAGCTTCTAAAGTTTTTCAACTACAATCAAACCTTCCTTCTCTTTGCCTGCATGAATGGACAAGGGCTACCTTCTCCTCAAATTTGTTTAATTCCTGATGACAAGAATGGCACTCTCACCTCTTCTGTAGTCTAATTCATCCCAACTATTTAGCCCTGGATAGGGAATTTGCTTCTGATGGTGAGGTAATTTATTACTTTTTTCAGAAGGATTATCTAACAAGTTCTCCTATCAATTCATCTAACAGATTCTTTTATAGGATACCGAATTTGATCCACCAAGCGTGGACAGGAAAGGGCATCCCATAGAATATTATCCACCATGTCTAGCCTCAAGAATGGGATCAACTGCACCCACTCTGAAAAAGTTGATGAAAACCCCAGCTGCCCCAACAATATGCACATATCAGTCTTCAAAACGCAAGGCAACCCAAGGTGTAACCCAGAAAACCACCACCGGGAAGAGACTTCGCAGAACAAAATCACCAATTGCTCAGGTAACTTAACTTATCTTCCCTCTTAAGATGATATCCAATTTCTAATTCAATCCCTTTCTTGCAGCCATCGACTATTGCATCTCAATCTGCCTTAGATGCCGAATTGTTGTCCTAGGAATTTGAATCGGTATCTACCAACCTCTCATCGGCTAATCCCCTAAGGAGCCGATTACAACTGAAATAACCGATGCTTCTGACAGACCCAAAATAGCAGAAGATGAGAACCTCTCTACTTCAGCTCCTGATGCTACCAAGGTATCTCCTCAAGCCTTTTAATCTTATGCAATCCTCACTCTTCTCTAATCATTCTCCTTTATCAGATACCACCTGAGAAAACATCTGCATAAGAGCAAAGGTCTAACAATCTAATGGTTGAAGATTGAAAGGATCAAGATGCCTAAGAGGGGGGGTGAATTGGGCTAATTCTAAATTCTTTGCAATAATTAAGTCCTACACTTAGCCCACTTCACCCATTGTGCCTAGAATGTGATTCTATTGATATACCGCACAAAAGTTTTGCACCCTAAGTTCCAATCCTACTCTAGCATGGCAATTCTAGGAATGTAAAGACAAGAAATGAATTGTTCAAATATAAATGCTTAAAGTAAAGAGAGGGAAATGAACGCGGTGATGTTTTGCTGAGGTATCGGAGAGTCGCCACTCCCCACTATTTCTCGTTGGAGCACCCGCGCAAGGGTGTAGCTCCCCCTTGATCCGCGCAAGGATCAAGTGCTCTCTATGGGCTGATTCTTCGACACTCCGTCGCGGTGAATCGCCCACAACCGCTCATAACTTGAGTTGGGTCATCCACAAGCTCCGCCAGATGATCACCAAACTCCCAATCACCACCAAACTGTCTAGGTGATGGTAATCACCAAGAGTAACAAGCACAAACTCTCACTTGACCACGACAATCCTAATGAGAAAGGTGGATGCACACTTGCTACTCTCCTTGCACTAATGAGGCCTTAATCTTGAATTCTCAAATCTCAATCACCTCACTAGGCTCTTGCTCTCATTTGCACTCTCAAGGGTGTTTCTTAGCTGAACAAATAGGCAAGAGTACCCCTTGGACGAGGGAGTAAGTATTTATACACCGTCATTCAAAACATAACGTTTGGGGGCTGAGTCATCACTCTGCGAGGTGACCGGACGCTCCGGTTAGTTATCCCCACCACTGTGTCAGAAAGAGCCGTTAAGTTCTGACCGGACTCTGACCTGCGTCCAGTCAACACTGACCAGACACGTCCGGTCATGAAAATCGCTCTCTAGAACCTTACTGATGTTGATCGAACGCTGGCACCCAGAGTCCGGTCACTTCGCTATTCAGCGTTCGGTCAGTTACCAGATCCTGACCGGACGCGTTCGATCAGAAAACTCCCTCTCTGGAACCTCTCTGGAGTTGACCGGACGCAGGCACCCAGCGTTCGGTCACTTTTCACTCAGTGTCCGGTCGCAACCAGACGGCTCTAGTTGATCAAATGAACTGACCGAACTCACCCTTCAGCGTCCGATCACAACCAGACCAGCGTTCGGTCAGTTATTTGATCCTCCATTCACTTTCAACTCGAAATCCTTTGTGAATGAACTTTGCTCCAATTGATCTTAAGGCTACTCCTGAGCTACCTAGTGCTAGATTTGACAAGTGTGCACCACACCTAACCCACTAAACCCACTTAGGTCAAGCTACTAGTCCATACCCCTCTTAATAGTATGGTCAAAGGAAAAACAAAGTCCTAAACTACTCTGAGTGTCTCTTCAACACCAAACGACACTTAAAACTAGTCCATCCTTAACCTTGTCGTCCATCCTTTAAAAACCAAAACGATTTTCATCGATAGGGGCATGACAACCATGATTTCCCAATCAATTGCCATTACCATGACCTAACTTAAATTGCATCTGTAAAACACACGTTAGTCATAGTAATCTCGCGTTGTCATTAATCACCGAAACCCAACTAGGGGCCTAGATGCTTTCAAAGATGACCTTGTTGATGCTGATAGCCAAACCATTGATTCTCTAACTCAGCAAACAATCGATGGTAAGAAATTCATATGCTCATTATTGTCCTTCTATAACAAACATAAACCGAAAAACTTCTTGATGCTTGCAGACACCAGCATCGAAAGTCCAGAGCCGATTCAGCCAAATGTTGAAAAAGATGTTGGCACATTATCGACTGTTCCTTCTCCTCAGCCAGAGTCTCTTCTAGAAAAGGTATTGTGTTCCCCTCACCATTCATCTCATTGTCAACCCATTTGTCATTTCTAATAAGATTCCTTTTGTTTACTTGTAGTCACTTAACTCTCCAGCTCTGAGCTACTCCTTCAACTTTGAAGAATACATAGACGAAAGTGAGATTAGCTCATCAGTCATTTCTTCCCAAGAGACTTTATAAGATGAGACCAAAAATCGGCCAATGCTCGAGAGAAATATAGCCGATTTGGTCTAGGATGCAGACCCAATGAGAAGAATCTTCTTGACCATCAAGCATAATCTGACTCTAAATCTTGCTGAAGCCTTGATACCTATATCCAATATCTAAGACCAAACTCCCAAGGTGAAAAAGGCTCAAAGAAATCTGATTGACCGTGAAGCTTTGATGGCCAAAAAGAATTCTAACAAACAGGAAGCCAAAGAATTAGCACAGCTGATCAACAATTTGAAAAATTCTTCTTCCGAAATTGAACCAGGACTAAATCAGCTAAGAGTTAGGCGTGCTGAACTTGAAAAAGAGCTGGAAAGTGTGAAAGGCACCATCGAACGTCATGAATCCAACTTGACTCAGATCCCCAATGCTATCAAACAGAAGAAGCAAGAAATGCTGACCAAGGTCAAAGAAGGCAACGCTATTCGCAGCAGTCTTGAGAGCATTCCCAGATCAGCCGAAGAAGATAAACAATAAATTACAGAAGTTGATACTATTCGGCTGAAAGCACTACGAGCAATTCATGATGCTCTTAACTTGTAATTTAAATTCCAGTATCTGTAGCACATAAACTTGATGATAACTGTTACTTTTTGGTTCGGCTAGAAGAGCCGATTTGAATTAGCCGATTTCTAATTTCTGGCTTTACTCTGACTTAACTGAATCTGAAAACGACTTTTATTACAAAACCCTTCGAATTCCTTCTCAGTCATCAACGCTCTCCCCAGTGATAGTGGTGCCGCTGGTCGTGATGGAAGAATTTCTACAAGCAGCCCAATTGCAACAAGTAGCATCATGCATGGCTCTCCCCAGTCAGATGATTCTTCCCAACACTCTGATTCAGGCATATTACTGAGGGAGAATGCAAGTAATGGTGGTCTCAGCTATGCTAGGCCGAGGCCTGTCGATAATGTCATTTATTCTCAATTTATATCAACTATGTGTTCTGTTTCTAAAGATCCTGACCCAAGAATTGCAAGTATTGGTCGGAGAGCACTGTCCCTTATAGATGTTGAACTAGTGGTCATGAAAAATACTAGATTTAACAGTGGAGGTCCACATCGAGGAGAGACATCTTCGTCAAACTATGGAATGGCACGCTCTTCTTCTTGGCGTGATATGAATTCTGATAAGTTATAACCACTTTACTTATGATGTGCTTGGAAGTTGTAACACCTTGCCTCATTGGGTGTTCAGGGAAAGACAAGAATTGTTGACTTGAGTTTTACTATATTTTTCAGGAAGCAACTCGATGAAATTTATGACCCCTCCTGTTAGCCCCCCTCAGCATGATTATCTTATAGGATTACGCCGAGTGTGTTCTATGGAGTTTGGACAGCATCCTATAAATTCACCTGATGGCTTAGCTGATCGCCTTTTAAGCTCTGCTGCAGGCCTCAGTAATAGAGAACCACTTCCCCAATCAACAATTTACAACTGGAGTTGTGGTCACTTCTCTAGGCCACTTTTAACTGTCTCTGATGATAATGAAGAAATCAATGCTAGAAGAGAAGAGAGAGAACGAATTGCACTAGATTACATCACTAAGTGCCAGCGCTCCTCTACGTGGATGTACATTTGTCTGCATTACATTATTGTTGTTGGTTTTCTTGATTATTTACCTGTTGTTTTTCTTGGTGGTTCACCCTGGGAATAGCAGCTTGCAAGATGACAAGCCAAATTGCTAGTTGGGATACAAGGTTTGAGTTGGGAACAAAAGCAGCTTTATTGTTGCCATTTTCTCCAATCGTCGTTGCAGCTGATGAAAATGAATAGATAAGGTGAAATTATTATTGCAATTAAAAATCCTAGTGCCTGAATGCCTAATATGCACTGCTACAACTGTGCTGAAATTCTGTCTCATGCCAGAGTGTGGAACTACGACGATGCACTACCAGTGAACTCTTTTCAAAACCATAAGTTATCCGACAGAGGGCTATCTAAACTTTTGCTTATCAATGAGCTTGATGAGAGCTTGCTTTTGGCCGCCTCAAGTATGCCTCTCTTCTCTATGCTTTTCCTTCTATACTTAACTTCTGCCATTGCACCGTCTAATTTTTATGTTGCAGGTGATGGAAATGTACGTATATGGAAAAATTTTGCTCAAAAGGGAGGACAGAAACTTGTAACTGCTTTCTCATCAGTTCAGGGACATCGAGCTGCTGGTCACAGTATTGTGATTGACTGGCAGCAGCAATCTGGTTATCTGGTACATCCTATTTTTTCCCTGTAATCGTATTATTTTATTTTACGCATTGCATGTTCTAATACAACTTGCTCTCCTTGTCCAATAGTATGCATCTGGTGACATGTCTTGCATCTTGGTATGGGACCTTGATAAGGAACAGCTTCTCAGCACCATTCAGTCAACTGCTGAAAGTGCCATTTCTTCCCTGGTGAGTTCCTGTGGCCTTGCGCTGTCTGAGAAATTGGAATATTCATACAACTATACAAGTAACTTCTTTTTATTACTCCCTCCATTTCAAATTATAAGACATTTTGGCTTTTCGAGGTACATTGCTTTTAGTATGTATCTAGACATAGTGTATGTCTATGTGCATAGAAAAACTACGTATCTAGAAAAGCCAAAACGTCTTATAATTTGAAACGGATTGAGTATTTGACTAGGCTATATGTTACACATTGTCACTGAAGAAATAACCATAGATATGTGATTCTGTGTTTTCTATTATGCGGTTCATGCTGTGTACTTGATCTTCCCGTCATATTAATCAATAACTTAGAACATTACTCTGTAACTGCGTTTCACCGCCAGTAATTAAGTGCCATGGAATCAAGGGTTTGTTTTTTATAGTGAAATTGTGACAAAAAAAATAGTACACATGGTAGGAAGGACTCTAGGTACATCTGCATGCGAGTTGCTAGTAGAGGTAAAGTGGAGTCACTATTCTTGCATGAGTAATGATTGTATGCATGGATCCTCCTAGACTCCTAATGATTATGTGCCATTCATATGGTTAAGATTTTATGCATGGAAGTGGCATTTGTTGTTGCTTTCTGTAGGAAAGTTGTTAGCTTGTCTTAAGTTGGTTGAACAATGTGAACAAGAGGTGAATTTGGCAAAGGATTTGCTCATGTTATGTCTTAAGCTATGACTTGTTTTTACTCATCAAAAAATAAGTACTGTCCTCCAGTAGTCCAGTGTAATGTTTTTTTTAGCTTATCTTGTTGTTATACTTTTATAGCATTTTAAAAGTTTGTTTATCAAGAACACATTTTCATTCCATAGGTGTGAAATTAGCTGTTTGATTACTTTATATATTTGATTCTTGCTGCAGCAAGTTTTATGTTAATCTGGTTTGTGTGGATCTGTTCTTGAGATGTTGCTTGTTGCTTCTATTTCAGTCTGCATCTCAGGTCTGCTCCGGACACTTTGCTGCTGGTTTTGCTGATGGTTCTGTCAGGATATATGATGTTCGCTCTCCTGATAGGTAAGTACAGTATTGTCTACATCCTCTGGCCTTGCATTTCATGCACATGTGCCCTATGAAATGTCCTGTTTCCTCTTTCTTTTCTGCCAACTTAATTATTTTTACTCTGAATATTCTTTTTCTACACTTTAGGCTTGTCTATGTGGCCAGGCGGCATGCCCCAAGAACGGAAAAGGTTGTGGGCATTGGGTTTCAGCCTGGGTTTGATCCATACAAGGTAAATACTTCCACTGTACATTGTTATGTATTTTCGTTGTTGAAGCAACTAAGCAATTCTATAGTTGTCTGGGCTTTCCTTAAGCTTTACAATGCTCCCTTTTGTATTATTTATGATATCACAGATTGTAAGTGCATCTCAAGCTGGAGACATTCAGTTTCTTGATGTTAGAAGGGCCGCAGAACCCTACCTGACTATTGAGGCACACAGGGGTTCACTTACAGCATTAGCGGTTCATCGGCATGCCCCAGTTGTTGCTAGTGGCTCAGCCAAGCAGATGATTAAAGTGTTTAGTCTTGAAGGAGAGCAGTTGACGATTATTCGCTACCAGCCATCTTTTATGGGTCAAAGAATAGGCAGTGTAAATTGCCTTTCTTTTCACCCATACAAATCACTCCTGGCTGCTGGTGCTGGTGATAATGGTCTTGTTTCTATCTATGCCGAGGAAAATTACAAGTAAGATGAGGCCTATATCTCATGACAATGCAGCCACAGTGCAACCGATAGGCCTTCCATTTTTGGCCAAGTGATGCTCCACAGCATGGTCCGGTTTCAAGATCCAAGATGATGGTAAGCCTTGTCACAGAGACAGTGTTGGTGGCGCCATGGCTTTCGGTGCATATATTGCCTGTTGGACGGTGTGTGCAATTTGTAAGATACAGTTAAGATTCATTAGCCTCCTTGCAGAAGGTTTGTGGACCCTACCCTGATCCTGCCATTGAACTTGGAGGCTCCCCCCAAATAATTAATCATACCTAGGTTAACCAAAATGTAAATAGCCAGCGAAGTTTCGGGTTGTACTTTGCCAGCATTATTCCTTTTTCAAGTGTAAAAAGGTCTGAAGATGCTTGATATGATAAACAGGGCTTGGTAGGGGTTGCTGCCTGGGCAAGTGGGGGGTTGTGCATATGGGCCCAGGTAGAATGGTTGCACATGTCTGCTCACAGATGTTGAATAGATAGATGCATTTGTCCAGCTAATATAGCGCTAGATGGGGGTAGTATTGGCCTGCATGAATGAAGGAATGTTGTCGAGTGACTAGCATTGTAACCCTTGGATAGATTGTCCGTTTGTATATATGAATCGTGTTTGTAAAGTTGCCTGCTTTCTGTCCCCCAAGTTGTGATCCGTGCAATGATGTGTTTTACGCTGGTGCATTCCAGCAGAGAGAGGTGCTGGAACAGTTGAAGGCGGTCTTGTGATCTGTAACCGTAATCTGCAGCGATGGTCACCGTGTTGTTGAGGTGGGTTGATGGTAGAGGATATGTGAGTCTTCGTTGAGTGATTGATTACCTCCCCCATTGCCGTTCTGTGGCTTCACAGTAGGCTGCATTGTCAATGGAATGATGGTCTTGATCTGCTTCAGAATTCAGTTTACTTCGGGGAACCATAAGGGAAGGCAGGCAAGGCATGGATTGTTTTGCATCATGAGTTATCAGATGACCGTGGAGACACATATTTGTAGATGTGTTGTGGGAAGTGTGCTGAGTGAAAGATAAAATGTACTGTGAATCATGTGATGATAAATGCTGTTGTAGTGTATAATTCACAACTCTGGCTGCTCTTATTTAAAGGAAAAACATCATGTGTGATCTTTTCCCTAATTGCAATGCAACTATGCAAGTTACCTGAGTCACATAGCATAGTCTTAAACTGCAGCATCGCTGAGCATATAAGCTTCGTCGTAGTGGCGAGCGCGCGCCCACGCTTGCAGAGAGTTCCAGTCCAGCGCTACGATGGCCGGGAGCCGCCACCCCGAACCGCGGTCTGACGCCACGGGCCACCAGCACCGCCTGCTGTCCACCCTGGCGCGCCACGGCCGCTTCGCCGCCGCCGCGACCCTCTTCTGCACGGCCCACCGCACGACGGGCGCCCTCAACGCCCTCCTAGCCGCGCTCTGCTGCTCCTCCTCCCGGTCCCCGACGCTCCTCCGCGCCGCCCCGGCCGTGCTCCTCTGCGCCGCGCCGCACGCGGCCCCCGACGCCGCCACGTTCCGCATCCTCACCTCCGCGCTCTGCCGCGCCGGCCAGCCCTCCGCCGCCGCGGACCTCCTCCGCTGCATGCCGCCGCTCCTCCTCGACCCGGACCCGCGCCACTGCCGCGCGGTCCTCGCTTCCCTCTGCCGCCGCCGGGGCGCCCCGGCCCGGGACACGCTCGCGTTCCTCGACGACATGCGGCGGTGGGGCGTCCCGCCGGCCCGGCCCCACCACCACGCCGTCGTCGGTGCGCTCCTGCGCGACGGGATGGCCGCCGAGGCGTACGAGGTCGTGGCCAGGCGGATGGACGGCGACGGCGTCGCCCCGGGCCTCCCGGAGTTCGAGCGGCTCCTCCGCGCGTTCCGCGACCGCGGACGGCTCGACGCCGTCGAGGAGGCGTTCGACGAAATGCTCCTGCGAGGGCTCGTCCCCTGCGCGCGCGTCTACGGCATCTACCTCGGCGCGCTCTGCGACGGGGGCGACCTGACCGCCGCGCGCCGCATGCTGGGGTGCATGGAGCGCGCCGGGTGCCCGCCGGACGCCCGGACGTTCGGCGTCGTCGCCGCCGGGTGCGTGGCTGCTGGGGACGTGGACGCCGCGAGGGAGGTGGCGAGGGAGGCCGTCGGGCGGGGCCTGCGCTGGGACGCGCCGGCGCTGTCGGAGCTCGTCGCCACGATGCGTGCCGGCGGTCACGTCGCGCCGGCGCGTCCGCTGCTGCTGGACATCCTGCGTGACGGATGCTGCGCTGCCCCGGCTGATGCAGCGGCGTTTGAGCGGCTGGTTGGAGAAGGAGCGTCGTGCGCCGGCGGTTAGGGTTTGGGCGCCGAGGCCGCCGGAGTGGTCGGCGAGACAGTGCCACGCTGACGTCAGTTTTGGTGGCGGCCGGGCGCCCAACGACTGATTCATTGGCTCCTAGCAAATACGGAGTACTGTAGGAGCTGGCCTCTGGTGCACTTCTTTACAGCGTCATTACGCCGGTGTGTGTCCTTGCCGAGAGGCCATCACCGGCGACGGCGAGTGTTCGCTCCCGTGCTTGGCGTGTGAGGCAACAGCCACTGACAGGTAGGTCCACCAGTCGGTGGGGCCAGCTTCGGACAAAACGCGAATTTTTGTCCTAATAAAAAAATGCTACAGACACGCGGGGGGAGAAAGGATTCCCTAAAAGAATCACCGCACAAAACCCTCTGCTCCTCGCACCCTCACGCTCCAAGGCGGCGGCGCGATGGACAGCGGAGGCGCGGCCTCGCCCGATGCCGCCATCTGCATCTCCCCTGGGGCTGGGGCCATCGTCGCGGTCGCCCCCGCCGGGATCAGTAAGTTGCCCCAACCCTTCCTCCCTTCCCTTCCCCTCTCGCCAAGCGCATCTCACTCTTGCCGATTCGCACAATTTCTGACATGATAATTTGCTAGTACCTCTACTTCGTTACTAAATACTCCTACTACTACTTAGCCGTCCGTAGTGCAGCTTGTTAGTCCATCCTTACCCGAGTGTCTGCAAACATCTCGTTCCAAATTTCTCTTCTTATTCACCAACATTGTTATGCTGCTGTTTTCTTAGCTGTTTTGTGCTTTTGATTTGGGACAGGGGTCGAGAACTGCTACGTGTTCAAGAGCCGCCTGCAGGAGTATGCTCAGAAGGTTGGCATTCCAACCCCGGAGTACCATACCCTCAAAGAAGGCCCGTCTCATGAACCTGTCTTCAAGTCCACAGTGTTCGTTAACAACACCAGGTATGAGTCGTTGCCTGGGTTCTTCAGCCGGAAGGCTGCGGAACAGTCGGCCGCGGAAGTTGCGCTCATGGAGATAGCCATGTCTGCTGCAGTGACCGAAACCAGAAGCATCCCAGCAGTTGTAAGTTTCTCTTTTGTGCACATCTAAAAAAACTATTCCTTTTTTTGCAGATGTGCTGTCTAAAGATTCTAATTGTACACAACATTATCATCCAAAAGGATTTTTTTTGTTCTTTGAATTTCAAGGTGTAAATGAGCGATGATCTAGAAAATCAGAGCCTAAAACGAAAAAAGCAAACGGCCTCATTCATAGTTATGCTGCTGCCTAGAACATATACATGCTTCTTCAAAACACATAGGTCCAATCCTATTGTACTTGATGTGCTTTCTTACTTCTTTTATTTTTACGGATGTGAGGATGTCTGAAGTATCCTATATTAACTTGGCATTGCGAACCTTCCATGAAATTTATTGCAAGTATGCTAATAGCACCTACTTATTTTCAGTTAAGTAAATTAATTTAACTGTGTTTGTCTAGTGGTACCTGAGTACTGTCACAAAAGTTTGTTTTAGGTTTCATGGAATTTGCCCAATAATATTCTCTGGTCTTATTATTTATTTGTATAATTATTAATGCTCTCAATCATGCCAAGGCCCCCTCTAATACAAGGAAATAGTTATGAAGATGCTTGCGAACTTGTTCTGCCTAGTTTATGAACCCTGAACTATGCATATCTCACAACATGGTGATTAAATTAAGTTACCATGAACCATTCATAGCTCAACTTATGAATTCAGATGACGAAACTAGCATAGCATTGCAGGATCTCTTCTTGATTGACATGTTCCGTTGATACATCTTACTATGCTTTGCAGCAAGAAACTGGCCTGTGCAAGAATCTTCTTCAGGAGTATGCTCAGAAGATGAATTACGCCATTCCATCTTATATTTGCACTAAACAAGCTTCAGGTGTAGCTCCTTTCATATGCAGTGTTGAGATTGGTGGCATACTATACATTGGTGCTGCAGCTAGAACAAAGAAGGAGGCAGAGATAAAAGCTGCCCGAACTGCTCTTCTTGCAATCCAGGGTAATTTTCTTAGCATTCAATCCAAGGGCATCCGTTGTGCAAACATTATCACTCCTTTCTCGCTATGGCCTGGATTTTGGGTCATAAATGGGCAATGTTTGGTGCAGGTCAATCAGAAGGTGATGGTGCCAAAAACTACATTGTTGTTCCTGGACAAAGGCTTAAGGAGACAGATAAAAAGCCAATTGAAACCCCTAAACCACTCAAAGTCAAGAAACGTGGTTCCAGGAGGAAATGGAACAAGCGGAAATTCATGGGGATGGCTGACCAAATTGCTGAAAAGGATGTAGAGGGGCTTGGAATGCTTGTACAGTATGACTATGAGGAAGCTAGAAGAATAGAATATGAGTTACCTGGAGATACTGCAATGGTTCAATTTAACAAGGAAGTTATAATGATGCAACCTGGTGAGGGAGATATGATACTACAACTGGAGCCACCCAGAGATCCTACAGAGGTCCAACATAACAAGGAAGCTAGAAGTGTTGAACAGGACCCACCCAGCAACGCTGAAATGTTGAAGCCTAACAATGAAGCTATAACTATACAGCATGAGTCAGTGAGCGCTTATGTAGTATTGCAATCTAATGGGAATTCTACAGATGTGAAGGAGGCACCAAGCAATACCTCAATGATGCAGGGTGAGGAATCGGAAACCGCAAGGCAAGAAGCACCTCACACTGGTGAACGGGTCCAACCTAACTAGGAACCTATTTTTAGAGAAAGCAAATCTTCCTGAACAGGAAGAAACCAAAATGTAGGAAATGCATGCATTGCTGTAGGCAAATAAGTCCAATGGAGATATATGAGCCTAAAATAATTTGTGGTGATTGACTCCAGTTGTAAGGGCCTTCCAATGGTAATATCAAGTTTAGAGAGAATTGGGTGTGGGGAAGTGGGTGTCATTTGTGTGTCAGTGGAGGAATAGATGGGAGTATGTGAACCGACGTAGCTAGTTTATGTTTGTTACCATTAACTGATTGTATTTGGTCATGTTTTCCCAGTCAGATTGGTGAGCGGTGCTTACATGTGCAATGGATTTGAGGTAGCCGATCCAAGCCTCCACTCGGTCATTGGATGGTTGCTTAAATGATGTTATTCGTTATTTTAAGTTCTCTTGATTATGTCAAATTATGAAGGCAATGTATCAAGTGCAAACCAACCTCTCCGTGCAAACCGTGCAAACCAACTGCGGGGGAGAGGTGGGAGGGGGGATTTGCAAAAGTGTAATTAGGAGCGGGCGTAATTACACTTTTGCAAATCCCCCCTCCCACCTCTCCCCCGCAGTTGGTTTGCACGGTTTGCATGGAGAGGTTGGTTTGCACTAGATATGTTCCCAATTATGAATGGACAAGAAACAAACAGAACATTATCCTTTTCTGCACAAGCATTGTGCACCAAATGCCATGCCCAAACGGCAGCTACTCTAACCTATTTTCAGGAATATTTCTGTGTGGCAGTTTGTTATCCAAATACCCGGCAAAAAAGGTATTCACTAGTTTTTTTTTTAATAACTGACAGCTTTATTAACAGCAGCAAGAAGCTGCTAAGATGGCGATTCCCTCCAAATTTACAGAGTTCAGAGTCTGAATGGAGGGGCAAGTGGCCACATGACCCAAATTTGTACAAGAGGTGGAAATTAGCTGCGGAAACACAGAAGCAGCAGCAAAAGCTTGCCTAGCAAGTAGATGAGCAGTGTAATTTAAAGCTCTATCTATCTTGTATACTTTGCAATCTACTCCTGAGGTACAGTTCAGAAAGCTTTGAGTGTAGGTTTTGATACTCAGGGGTGGTGAAGAGTGATCATTGCTGTTGAAGAAATTCACCAATTGTTGATTGTCTGTTAAGAATGTTGGATCCGGTACCTGCAAAGCCAGTGCCAGAGATGCCGCAAGCGCTAGTCCTTTGCTTCAGCTATCAACACTGAGGTGGTTGATGTCATGATTGCCTTGATGTAGAGAGTTGAAGCCGGTTGTACATGATTATTGAGAAGGAGAATTCCTATTCCTGCTGGTCTTGATGTCTGTTGCTGGAGGTCTGGCGCTCAGGAGGCATCTGTATATATTCTTGTTCCAGGCAGCAGGGCTGGGAAGCAGACTCTGGAAAATGGTGGCGTCGGCATTGTCCCCTGAATGTCAGGAGCACATGAAGCAGCAGCTCTGAAGTGATGGGGCGCCGGGCTTGGAGGAGTGGACAGCGGTGGCATCCACCTGCTGTGGTCAGTTGGTGTGTAGTAAGCCGGTGTATCTGCAATCAAAAAATTATTACCCTGGCTTCTTAGTCGCGCCTCAGATTCTTGATCCTGTGCCTCATGATGCAGCTGAACCTGTTCGTCATCTTGTTGTAAGCATAGAGAAGTTGCCGCTATGTTCACCTTGACTGCATAATGAACCTGAAAGACAGTCATTTTTTATTGTTGAACCTGTGATCATTCCTAGCCCGCCAAATGTACCAGAGAGTAGTGAGGAAGACTAGCATCTGTTCATCTGTGATGTAGTCATGTAGCAGAAGCGGTAGAATTTCCTGTACGCCATCCTGATCATGGGGTAAAGAAGAAGTGCAAAGAGATGGATTCACATAGAACCAAACAGCGCGGGCAAAGGTTCACTAGTTACATTCACTGCGATGCCCCTACAGTGTATACTGCTGTCAGCACGAGCTACAACTTGATTTCTGCACTTCCTCTGAATGCCTGCGTCTTCTGCACTTGATTTCTAGCCATCTTCCTCTGGTGTCCTCTTGACATCTTCTGCATCGACATGCGACACCGAGACATATGCTCCATCACTGTCTGGCGCCATCGTGATCTTGTTGGAAGGCCGACAAAGCAGCTGGATAGGTGAACTCATCCGATCTTGCTCCGAAACAAACCAAGCTGCGGAAGAGCCTCAATGCATCTGTATGTAGGTCGTCAGGCCTACTCGAACTCGATTCGGACTGGGATGGGACCCGATCGACGGAGCCGCCATCGCTCATACATATGCCAACCGGTGGCCCGTGGCCGCAGAAGAGGAACAGAGCATCCACGATCCGTCCCCTCGCCGCCGCCTCCAGACTAGGGATTGCCGCAGGGGTGCGGGTCAATCGGACAGGAAAATACTAGCCGTAGCCTACCGACGTAAGTTCGGCAGCTGATCGGCGACATGCCGAGCAGTGGCAGAGGAACCGGAGGAGTAGCAGGCGAAGGGAAGAAGAGGGGTGGGCGGCGGCGGCAGCGCCGTCAGTCTAGCCCGCCGCCGCCGGACCACCCTTACGAGTACATCATGATCCCGGGGGGCGGCCGCTTCGACATCCCAGAAGGAGACGACAAGGAAGAGTGGATCCAGTTCTTTGAGGAAGCTGCCAGAGCCACCAGGGAGGCCATCGCGCGCTACGGCGACGGCCGTCCAGCCGACGGCATCAACCGTGCCACGATGCTGCCCGACAGCACCCACCGTGACGGCGCCGTCTACAGCGTCACCGGCGGCTGGCATAAGACGTACCGCATCTCCGACACCGATGAGAGTAAACGAATAATACCAATTTCTTTACAAAATCTGCACCTCGGCTGAAACACAGCTATGAACACAGCACTGTGGGCAAATTAATGTTTGTCTTAGTTCACTTCACTCTTGAGTAAAATTATGATTCATGAATTTAGTAAGTCTTTTACATGCGAATGTTTTTTTTAACTCTGGATATAATTTACAAACAAGTTTTTTTTTTTCATTGCATTAACTGTATGTAATCTATCTGTTCTTGAAATTGTATAATCATAATAACTTCTTTTTCTGTATGTCATGTGAAGCCCAATTGGAGGCAGCAACCCTTTCAAACCCAAGCAATTGCTATCCGAATCAGGAAACTTGTTGCCAACATATCCCGCTAGCAATGATGCAGATATTTTCCATAGAATTGGGTAAACTTTCAATGGATAGTGGCAGTGCAGATTATGTATTTAATCGAAGCAGGGTTGATCCCATCTCATTGGAGCAGGTAAAGCATATATCTTATTATTATCGGTTATGAACTCATGAATAAATGTGTAGAGTTTGCTTGATCTATTTTACTAAAGTTCTAGAAATATTCGTTTTTTTTTCATGAAACCTTTACTAAAATATTTAATTTTATTTTATTTTATAGGGTTCTCCTATAGAGATGATTGGTCCCAAGCGAGGTATTGATATGTCCTCTGGTGTACTAATAGAATTTGATATGAAGATTAAGAAAGGAGAACAAGAATTAGATGACACACAGTTAATCGATGGAATAACAGATTTCGATGAATTAACCACACCATCATTCAAACCGTTCTTGAGTCGTATCGATGGTGTTGGTGGTGCGGTTGACATAACATTAGATATGTTTCACTTTGCCGTGGAGGCAACAATAGAAGTGGACATAGCACAGGTTTATGAAAATGGCTTCCATCTGGTCCGTACTTCATCAGTAAGTGGACTAGTAGTAGAGAAAGAAATCCAGCTCTTTGATGGCGTTGTTGGTCGGCCATGTGCATTAACAAGGTTTGTTGTTGCCGTGAAGCTACATGCTTTGATGCATTTGAAGTTCAAGTTTGTTGATGATGCCATCGCCAATGAAGCTGAACGTTGTGCCTCCTTCAAAGCAAAGCAGCATGGATATGACATGCAACAATTACAGCATAATGGGGCATCTGTCATGGTGAAAGTGAGTTGGTCAACTTTGTGTCGTTTGTGATCAAGAAACGATTGCCGGTTTGCTATACCGACTTCGAGCAGATCCAAATCTTAATGTTATATACTAGAAATGAGGAGACTGAATCCCAATTCCTCCTTTGTTTGCTGAGGTGAACATGCCTGGGAAGTACATTATATTTCTGTGGAATGCAACCAGGATGCTGTAGTATAGAATATTAACATGTAGAAGATGAAGGAAAGAGATTAATAGTATGCAAGAGATGGTTTTGGGTGATGAGAAATTGGTGAAATTTTGTGTGATGGTATGCCTTGGAGTGCTTGTGCTTTTGTTGGTTGGCACATTTATTTTGTGAATGCTGAAATGAAGTGGCTTGCATCTGTTTGTTTTGTTTTGTTTTGTTTTGGGATAGAGAAAAGATACTGGAGATCTCTGCTAGTTTATAGCGCTTGATGAATGAAGTGGCTTGCCACTCGCACGTACGCCGTACGGGATCTGGTGCAGTATCTCTGTTTGGTTGTATCCTTCGTCAAAGGAGGAGACGAGGCGACGAGGACGCATGATGCTTTTAAGGTTTCAAGGTGCCGGAAGTTCATGATGCTTATTAAGGTTTCAAGGTTTCAACTAGTCAAGGCACAGGATGGCTGAACTGACAAGCAGGCAGGGAGCGACAGAGCCTCTGCCTCTTCTCTGCTTACAAGAGAGCTGCCTACCGGTTCGCTGCAGTTGACTTCTCCTTTCACCGTTGATTTTGTCCATCTATTGGAGAAATTGTTTGGCTGCTTCGTCCTTCTTGTATGCATCTTCTAATGATGTTATCTCAACTCAATCTGACCAGAATCAGAGTGCACCAACTGAAACTCTGCAGCCTTGCACTTTGCCTGCCCATCTTGAGTTCTTGACTTTCCAGTGCTATTCTCTGCTGAAATCTTGTGACGGTTTCAAGCACCAGCAACAAGACCAGGATGACGAAGTTTCAGCAGCAACCTGCTGCCAACTTTGACAGGGGGTCAATACTCCACTCTTCTCCACAAAGAATGCACACCAAGCTATTAATCCCTTTCGTTACAGTTAAGAATGCACACCAAATCAGATCAAGCAGCAACGTGTACAACTAGCTTCAGACCAAGCTCTCACTGACAGGAGGGAGCGCCCGTATTATAGTAGTGCTATAATAATAATAAATCCTAACGTAAAGTACTGTACTTTGTTTTGCGCTTGTATGTCGGGCGCCGCCGACGCCGAGGCCATCCGCCGCCTCCTGCTCACAGGCGTCAGCCCCAGCAGCCACCTGCCACCGCTCACCGTCAAGCACATCCACGGCCGCCTCCTGCGCCTGGACCTCCTCCTCCTCACAGACCTCTCCCCGCTCCTCCTGCGCGCCCTCTCCTCCTCCGGCCTGCACCTCCACGCCCTCCGCCTCCACTCCCTCCTCCCCAGCCCCTCCCACCTCACCTTCCCCTTCGCGATCAAGTCCGCCTCCCGGCTCCCGGACCCGCTCACCGCGGGGACACAGCTCCACGCCCGCTCCCTCAAGCTCCCCTCCCACTCCAACCCGCACGTCCTCACCTCCCTCCTCAACCTCTACGCGAGATGCGGCCGCTTGCACGACGCCCAGAAGGCGTTCGACGAACTGCCCCAGCCCAGCACGGTCTCCTGGACCGCGCTCATCACCGCGTACATGGACGCGGGGCGCGCGCAGGAGGCCGTCGGAGTTGCGAGGACCGCGTTCGCGAGTGGCATGCGCCCTGACAGCTTCACGGCTGTGCGGGTCCTGACCGCGTGCGCTCGTGTCGCTGATTTGGTGACTGGGGAGGATGTGTGGAGGGCGGCGGAGCAGGAGGGGATCGCTGGGAGCGTGTTCGTGGCAACTGCGGCGTTGGACTTGTATGTCAAGTGCGGGGAAATGGAGAAGGCGAGGGAAGTGTTTGACAGCATGAAGAACAAGGATGTGGTGGCTTGGGGTGCAATGGTTGGGGGATACGCCTCCAACGGGCATCCTCGGGAGGCTCTAGAACTGTTCTTCGCAATGCAGGTGGAGGGAATGAGGCCAGATTGTTATACAGTGGCTGGGGCGCTCTCAGCGTGCACAAGGTTTGGTGCACTGGATTTGGGGCGGCGGGTAGTTGGGATGCTGCAGTGGGATGAAGTTCTTGGCAACCCAGTCCTTGCTACTGCACTGATTGATATGTATGCCAAGTGCGGGAGCACAGGTGAGGCGTGGATGGTGTTCCAGGAGATGAGGAAGAGAGACATCATTGTCTGGAATGCAATGATCTTGGGGCTCGGCATGACTGGCCATGAGAAGATTGCCTTTGCGCTTGTTGGCCGGATGAAGAAGTCAGGTATGACACTGAATGATAATACATTCATCGGATTGCTCTGCAGCTGTACACATACCGGCCTTGTAAAAGATGGGCAGCGCTATTTTCGTAACATGACTCAGTTGTACGGCATAAGACCTAGGATTGAGCATTATGGTATTATGGTTGACCTGCTCAGTCGTGCGGGGTTGCTAGAGGAGGCTCATCAGTTAATTCAAGACATGCCAATGCAGGCGAATGCTGTTGTATGGGGAGCACTCCTTGGTGGGTGCAAGATCCACCGGAATGCTGACCTTGCTGAACATGTGTTGAAGCAGCTCATCCAATTGGAGCCATGGAATTCTGGAAATTATGTCATGCTTTCTAACATATACTCTAACAGTGGAAGATGGGAAGATGCCGCAAAGCTCAGGTTGGAAATGAAGGCAAAGGGGGTTGAGAAAGTCCCTGCATCTAGCTGGCTTGAACTTGATGGTAAAGTCCACGAGTTCCATGTTGGAGACAGATCACATCCCCTCTCAGACAAAATTTATGCAAAGCTCGATGAATTAGGCATGGAAATGAAGGCCATGGGTTATAAACCGACTACCGAGGTGGTGATGTTTGACATTGAAAACGAGGAGAAGGAACACACGCTAGTGCATCACAGTGAGAAGATTGCCATTGCATTCAGCCTCCTGACTACTGAACCAGGTGAGACCATTAGGGTCACCAAAAACCTCCGAGTATGCAGTGACTGCCACTCTGCCATCAAGCTCATATCGAGGATAACCTGTCGCGAAATTATTGTTCGAGATAACAATCGATTTCATTGCTTTAGAGATGGCTATTGCTCTTGCAATGACTATTGGTAGTATACAGATGGCTTCTCTTTGCAATATTGACAGTATCTAGAGTTGGAGCATCTGCATTTTCATCTGATGTAAAACTGTAGTCAGCTAGAGCTGGGACTGGAGCATAGTTACTAGCACAATGTATGGCAGATTGGTATGTAGTTCCCTTTCCATTCGTTTCATTGAAAGGAATTGATAGTTTTCTGATTTCTGCTCTTGTATTTTATTTGTAATCTATTTCAGAATTAAAATGGTCAAAATACTGCTTTATTTTATGCTTTCCCCTCTCTGTTTGTATCAGATTGTGAATAAAGGGCTTAGGCATCATAAATGTTTATATTAAATACATTTATTTCTCAAGGGTGTTGTCACCCATTGAACTGTGATTTTTTTAAAACTATACTTCCTGTTTTATATTCTTTTACCCCAAAACTGATGCCATTTTACATGTCAAGTTTCTACAATGTGTTGCTTTCAGATGCTGGTATTTCAGACATTTGGTTTCTATTGGGTTGGTTGTAATGGCATGGCATGAATTAGTTCATCATTCTTGTTACAAATTCACCACTTGGTTCTTGTGAACTACAAGTCATCGGTACATTATCACTTCACAAGACCTCCGATAAGGTGTTTTCCCTTTCTACAAACATCAACTCTACATTCTAGCATTTGGTTACTGATACACATTCATTTGCAGCAAGCTGCTTAAGAACCTCAGTACCAAACTACGTGGCTGTCAGATCCCTGAGAGCTAGAAAGCTCCATCAGTAAACCTGAATGGCACTGTGTCTTGCATTTGGCTTGTTTTTTCTCTATCCCATGGCTTCTGAGGGGGCTTCTTTGATGCCAAACAGACCCTAACAAACATATAACATGATACACCTATGAGCATTGTGTTTTTCTGATCTATGTAAATATTTTCAAAAGTACCCTGCAGTGATCAATAATCAAAAGTAAACAAAGAATTGACCCACAGTGATCATAAACAAATTTATATTTGTGATCATATAAAGTACCCTGCTAATTAGATGGATTATATATCAAACCTACACATGTTCAAATTAATAACATTCTACCCTTGCGCGTGGATGTCTAAAATGTGTTTGGTACCGAGCCAACATGACGTTAGTCTCAAACTCTCAACTCTTAAGTGGGAAGAAAGCAGAGTTGGCGCCAAGATTAGACGCAGCAGTAAGCCACACTGAGAGTGAGAAACAAAACAAAGCAGTGTGCAACTTTGTTGGCGCCAAGCAGAGTTGTTCGATGAGTGGCGCTTGAGTCGTTGTTGTTTGCATTGCTTTTAAATTTGCAGAGTAATTTAGGATCCCTCCTAGTCCTAGCAGATGAACTGATTACAATTGCAGGAGAAAAGGTTCACAAAATTTCAGCAGCAAAAGAAAAAAAAACGAAGATCGATCGACGGATCCTTCTAATCATTGACGGAGCTTGCGGCGGCGACGGTTTTGTTGGGTGGCTGCTGCTGGATGACGAGGATGGAGACCTTGGACGCGAACTCCGCGGAGGCGAGCATGTCCCCCAGCACGCCCAGCTCCGGGAACTCGCTCCACTCCGACAGCCCGCTGGTGAGCGCCGTCGACCCCTCCGGGTCGCCTTCGCTCTCCCCGCCGCGGCGCCCCACGATGAGCAGGTCGAACTTCTCGCTCATGGCGCGCACCACCGACGCGGTGCCCTCCGCGTCCTCCACCGTCTTCTCCACGTACACCACGCGCTCGTTGTCCCTGTGCCTGGCCCAGAACTCCTGCAGAAGCTCCTCGTCCCGCGCCTCGTCTTGCCCGCCCATCCCGACCCAGTTCCGGAGCTTGAACCGCACCACCGTCAGCGACATGGTCCCGGCTTCCGGCATCCGCGCCGCATACGCCAGCGCCTCGCGGTCGTCGGCGCCGCCCAGGAAGTAGAGCGCCGCCCGCTGGAGCAGGCTGTTGGCGGCGGTGGCGCACGCCGACCCGGACGCGAGGCCGTGGTCCACGAGGATGGCGACGGAGCAGGGCGCGTACTGCAGCACGCTCCGGTTGATGGAGCGGATGGCGTTGTTGGCCGTGCTGCGCGCGCCGTCGGAGGACTTGTGGAAGGGGAGCAGGATGAGGTTGGCCTTCCGGCTGTGCGCCAGCGAGCACACGTCGTGGTGCATCGAGCTGAAGGGCGCCTGCGCCACGTACGGGCTCACCGTCACCGCCCCCGGCGCCGCCTGCTGCTCGAAGTACCGGAACGCGTTCACGATGCGGTCCGACGGCGTCGGGTTGCCGCCGCTGTTGGACGACCTCGTGCTCTTCCGGTGGGGCTTCAGCACGGACGCGGCGCGGCCGACGAGCTCCGTGAGGTGGAGCACGATGAGCGACATGGGCGAGTCGCGGGAGGAACCCGACGCCTCCAGCAGGTCGATCAGCGGCGCCGCGTGGTCCTCGCTGTAGAGGCAGGTGAGCACGCGGAGGTCGGCGCTCAGCCGCGCGTGCTCCAGCGACCGCCGCTTCGCCCGCGCGAACTGCCCCGACGGGTCGTACAGCAGCTTGATCAGCGGCGTGGACACGGCGGTGATGAGCACCATGGACATGGTGAGCGTCGAGTAGTGCTCCGCCGTCGCCTTCATGGTGTCGCCCCAGTTGTTGATGGCCGCCACCTCCACGATGCCCCGGATGTTGAGCATGAGGGCCAGCACGATGGCGTCCCGGAACGGCATGGTGAAGAAGAGCCCCGCGGCGACGCAGCCGACGAGCTTGCCCGACACGCAGAGCGCCACGAACAGCTCCAGCGCGCACCACTTCTCCGAGGCCTCGGACTTGGTGAACTCGGCGAGGTCGGTGCGGTATCCGGAGAGCGCCATGTAGACGGGCAGGAAGAGCGCGATGAAGAAGGAGTCGAGGCGCTCCGTCATGGTGGCGCCGATGGGCATGCCGCCGGGGAGCGCCAGCCCCAGCATCATGGGCCCGATCATGTACTTGAACCCGATGGCGTCCGTCACCAGCGCCGACAGCAGCGCGGCGATGACCACCACCACGAAGGAGCCCTCGGAGAGGAGCGCCCCCGTCGGGGTGCGCTTGTACGCGATGTAGCGGCCGGCGGGGCGCGCGACGAAGCCGACGAAGAGCACGAACGCGACGAAGGAGGCGAGGATCTTGGCCGTGAACGCCGGCGACCTGGCATCTCCGATGAGGATAACCGCGGCAGTGCAGGCGCGGATGAACCAGGAGGTGACGTCGGTGATGAGCGACGCCGTGAGCGCGATGCGGCCGAGGTCGGTGTTGAGGAGGTCGAGGTCGGAGAGCGCGTCGGCGATGACGGGGAACGAGGAGAGGGAGAGGCGGACGGCGAGCTCGGTGACGAGCGAGGAGCCCTTCAGGTCCTCGGGCAGCGTGGGCTGGAGCGCGTGGAAGACGGGCAGGGTGACGGCGAGCGGGACGACGGCACCCATGATGCCGACGGCCACGGCGCGGCCGCTGGGCCGGCGGAGGAGGCTGAGGTCGGTCTTGACGCCCATGGAGAAGAGGAAAAGGATGAGCGCCACCAGGGACACGCTCTCGAGGATGTAGGTGCCGCGCTCGGAGAAGAGCACGTCGCGGAAGGACGCGCTGCGGCCCAGCACGGAGGGCCCCAGGAAGATGCCGACGAGCATGTGGGTGACGAAGCGCGACTGGCCGAGGCGGCGGAGCACGAGGTGCGCGGCCGCGGAGAGGACCAGGATGACGGAGACCTGCACGAGGAGGAGCGGCAAGGAGAAGCGTAGCGGCTGGTCGCCCAGGAACATGCCCTGCGAGTTCACCAGGTTGTTGTCGTAGCACGCCGCCGCCAGCGGCTTCACCGTCGGCTCCAGCGCCCGCGACGTCAGGTTCGCCACCGCCGTCATCTCGCTCTCCGGCGTCCTCTCTGTTGGAATTGGATGCTAATTAAGTGATGATCTTGTCAGCTACTACCTAGGCTGCGTGCGCCATTGCATTGGTTGCTGCCATTTGCTTGGAAATTGGAATTGGATCGATCCGGCTTGCTCTTCTTGTGTTTCTGGGCAACGAGGGCATCAATTCAGTGTGGCTGTGAGACACTTCTTTCTTTTTCAGAACAATTGGCTGTGAGACACTGAAGGGCAATGCACGCATGGCAGAGGAGGGGCTTTTGATTTGCCTATTTTTAGCTGTGGATGAGAGGGACAATAGACAGAGCCTGAAGATATTGGTCCATAAATAGAAATAAAGATGACTGTAACAATATTTGAAAGAACAATTACATGCAGGGGAGTTGCAGTTGAAGGCAAATATTGGATTGGACTGAATTATTTTAAATGAATTGGACTGAATTTTAGTACTACGCAAGCCAGAAGATATGGGATGAAGCAGGTTGATGTTGGATGACTTGAGTGGGTACCAAATTGATATTGTTTCTGCTGCAATCGGCCTGTGCAGATCGCCGGCAAGGGCTCATCAACGGATGTGATCGGAGATGGACACGCCGGCCGGCGGCGGCTGAGGAGGACTACGACGGCTTTGCTGCAGACGGCGGCGTTGCCATCGCGCTCGCGCAGACAGGCCAGAAAAGAGCGCGCCACCCTCCAGGCCTTGTGGGCCAAAAGTTTTTCGATGGGCCTCTATAAATCTGGCTCATGTAGTTGGACCCTTTTTTTTAACGTAAGTTGGGCCCTGTTTTGGCCTAGTATACTTGAGACTTAGACATGGGGAAAATCTATTATATCTCCCTGAACTGTCGCTGTAATCTGATTCTCCTCTTTTCTTTGAACTCTCAAAACAGAGACATTATACTTTTACCGCGTTGTACGGGTAACGAATTTGTAAACATGTGTACAACGATGCACGTGTCTTATGATTTAAACGAACATAATAACAAATTTTTATCCATATCTATGACGATGCACATGGTTTATGGTTTCGACGAACATATTAAGAAATATACAAATTTGATTACATAAAGCCTATTTTTTTATCTTTATGACCTATATCGTGTAGATTTGGTTTACAGAAACCTAATAAAATTGGTTTCATTTTTAAATTATTATTTGTGTGTTTTATTATTTTACATTTTCAAAAATTAATAAAAATCTAATTAATACTTGTCCATTTGGACCCTAAACTATTTCTAAATTCTCCAAGTTGTCCTTCTTCTACGTGGACGTGGTAGACTAATGTGCCACGTTGTTTCCTGCAGAGCATCAAGTGAGTCACCACACAATGGACTCGTATGTTAGTGCGACCAAGAGGTCCGTCCGTTCTTCCCACGACACGTCGTTCCTTCGTTCCTCTCTCGCGGGAGGGCGAGTGGGGTGTAGACGCGCGGCCACACACGCACGAGGCTAGTGGGGCACAGACACACGAGCACACGCGCATGGGCATGCGCTGACGGGTGAGCGGGCCGAGCGTTTGTAGGTGCCCACCAACGTCGGCATAGGCTGGAGCTAGGGCGCGCACACGCGGGTGAAGCGGAGCACACGGCGAGCACGTCGCAGAGCACATCGAGTGCCGCGGCCGCCGCCAGCACATATTGGCATCGCGTCGCCCGCGTCCATGGCGAGACGCGTGCTCCCACGTACACCGGGACTACACACGGCAACAAGTCGCAGTTGCCCGCCGCTGCCAGTGCAGGCTGGAGCTAGGGCATGCGTGGGGGTGTGATTTATTTGTGGGGAGGTGGGGCTCGACGTGGACCCACGCGGGCGGGCAACGCGGGAGTGTGCGGGGTTCATGTACCGGACTCGCCATTAAGCGGGGAGAGCGAATAATACTTGGCATCTGAGTGACACGGACTCTCGGACAGGGACCCATGCGGGCGGGGTGACACGGGAGCCACAGATTAAGCTTGGGCGAAGCGAATATATCTTGGCGTCCAACGATGACATTAGGATTTTTAGGTCTTTTTTTGCCATATAAGAGCATCTCTAAGAGTACCTAATAGTTTCTTCCTAAAAACATAGAGTTTAACTCTAAAAAAGTATTGGAAGGAATAAAGAAGGTCATCTCCAAGAGTTTCTAATAAGCCACACCTAAATTTTAGAAGGCAATTTTACATCAAGAATCATATACTATTTCTAAATTATCCTGACCACTTTTATATATTCTTTCTCTCTTGTACATTTGCATCAGAACTCTTTCCTACTCTTTATTCTTTTCAAGCCCTTCCACCTTTAGATTGGCCGACAAACACCGGTAGAGGGACGCAGACTATGTTTTTTCTCGTATAGTATTGGAAACGGAGACGGTGCTTTTTTACGTATTTTTTTGCCGTATATATTTCAGAAACGTACGTTGTTTTTGTCGTTTTTCTAGTGAGTTTTTTAAGCGTATATATAAGGGCGGGGGCGGGAGGGGGGCGCAGACGATACTATTTGGTATTTTTTAGGTGGTAGTAGATTTATGCGGGACGCCTAGCACCCGAACGTCCAGCGCCCAGATGCATCTGGACCCACCTCAAAAATTAACACCCGCATACAGAAAAACAGCGTCAGTATGCGTGCGTCCCCATCCGCGGCCTATCTCCTCCACACCCTCATCCCGCCACCGCGCTACCATCTCTCCGCGCTCCCTCTGCAAGCCCCCCACCACGCCCCCTTCCGCAGGCCCCTGCCGCGTGCCGTGCAACGCTGCGCCCGTTTCGCGCTGCACGTGGGGCCCTCGCCGCCTGAGCAACAAGAGGGAAGGGCCACGATGTCATATGGATGCTCTGTCGGCTCTAGAAGAGGCGATGCAGCAAAAGGTGGGGAGGAGATGCAACACCCGATCTACTTTTAAAACATCCAAATGCAACGGTTGCAACATACGTCTGAAGGCTGTTGAAACATGCTTCTGAAACATTTGAAAAAAAACACCTGAAACACACTTGAGAACCATTGCAACCATACGCAACATCTAAATAAAACACATGCAACGTATGTGTGAAACATATGCAACATCTAGATAAACACAATTGCAACATGTGTCCGTAAAACACAGATGAAACATACATCTGAAACATCCAAAACACTCGAAACATACTCTTGCAACATGCATATGAAACAAATGCAACATACATTTGAAATGCCTGAAACACTTGAAACATACATATGCAACATAGGGGGGCAGAGAGAGCGTGGTGCGGGGAACGCCATGGCCGCCGACGGGCGAAGCATGGTCGCCGGGGTGAGAGAGGGCGCCGCCGAGGTAGGAAGGGCGTCACGCCTAGGTGGGGAGAGTCGCCGACTCCCTGCAACACCGCCGCGCCACCTCCAAAGGATATCGCTCGTGCTCCATGGATCACGCCGTTGTGGGGGGAGAGCCGCCGAATCTACGGGCGTTGGGGGCTCCTAGTGGGGGAAGGAGCTGCCGGGGTGAGTGAGGGCGCCGCCGCCGTCCAGGGAGGCTGCCATGGCCACACGTTGGGGTAGGGGAGGGCGTGCGCCGAGGTGGGTAAGGGCGCCGCTACTAGCCATGGAGGGAGCGGGTGGCGCACGCGATGGAGGGGGCGAGAAGCGAGCTAGCGGATGAGTGCGTGGAGGAGAAGCCTAGTGGAGTTTTTTTAATAGAGCGCGGATGAGTGGAGGAGGTGCGTCCGATGGGTCGGACGTCTGGTAAGTAGCATTATCGTTATTTATGTCCTGATTTGGAGTGGTTTTGTCCTTCTTTGATACTAAGTTAAAAACCCAATAAATACTTGATAATGTTTCTATGCCATAGAAAATGTTTCTATGCTTTTGAAAATCTAAAAAATAATACTAGAGACAGATTAGGATACGCCAAATTTAAATAAAATATTTAGAGCTCATAAAAATGTCACTAGATGCTTCAAAAAATAGATTTAACTCCAGGAAAATGAAAAGAAATATCTAGAAAATAGGTAATCAATGTATACTCCCAAAACAATTTAATCAATGTATAAACGTGTTTTAGTGGCAAAACTATGAAATGCAACTAGCATGAATGCAACATACATTAATGTTGAATGCATTCATGGTATGCATTTGTGTTGGTTGCGTATTATGTTTTTATTGTAATATGTTTTTAAAACACGCTTACATATCGTTTAGAACGTTTTGGGAATTTTCTAGTTTTTTTCATTTTCTAGAACTAAATATAACCTTTTGAAACATTGATATTTTCACGAGTTCTAAATATTTTATTAAGATTTGGTGTATTCTAATCTAATTTTTTTTTTTGGGGTGGGTTGGGGGGCGGGGGTTGTTAAAGTTTAGAGATATTTTGGTGATTTAAAAGCCTTTATCAATGTGTTTAACGGGTGTTTTATTAAAAGAAAGACAAGACCATTTTCAAAACTACTCCAAACCGAGACAACGAGGTAATTTGAATGATTTGTTCAAATTCACAAAATAAAATATCTAGTTTTGAAGTTTAAGGAGAGAAAAAATCAGACTAGGACGAGCGAACGCCTATCCGTCTTTGGTTCCTAGACCTGCGAATAAGACACGGTCCATTGAGGCCCAAGAAGACAGCACTTGCTCAAATAATTGATGGCCCAACAACACGCAGGCTAAAGGCTTGGCACGGCGAAGCGTGCATCCGGAGGACTCTGTAGTTTTTTTTAGTTTTTGCCAAAAAAAACTGTAGTTTTTTTCTTTTTTGCGAGAGTTTTTCTGCCAAACCACGGCATCAACTGTCAGTGTTGTTACTCGCGCATATATAATGTCACCAGCAGTAACTGTGCTTGTTTGTTATCAAAATGCCATGGTTGAAATGCATGCATCCATTTCACGTTCCATTATTTTTAGAATGTACATATGGCATCCCTTTCCCACCATCACGCAATGAATTGAGGCTCGAAACTATTAAATTTTAGGCAGAATAGCCGTTTTGGTACATAAACTATAGAGAATTATGAGTTTGCATCGTGATTTTTTTTAATCAATTTTCAGCG